AGCAAGCAGCTGAGGAGGGAAGCAGGGGAGAAGCTATTTTTCTCAGAATAAAAGCAATGCTCCTTTGATCCCTCGATCTGAATAATCTGGGAAATAGGATTCCATAGGAAATCTTGTGTAAATCCTGTCCTGAAAGCCAGACTTGCTACAAATGCATAAAGCCAAGCATCAATCATATTGTGAAATAAGGCATTTCTAAATCTTTATCTCCCCATTACCCTCACTTAAGTATAGTCCTTCTGCTAACTTATGGTTAAATGTTTATTCTGAATAATTACCATTGTCCTTAAATTTTTCACCTTCACATTTAAAAGTATGCCATAAAATTGTTAGATTACTTGTCAGATTTCTAATATTAGAGAAACTACTTTAGAAAAAGAGACAATGTATATTTCAGGCACATTTCCAGTCCTAAAAACTATAAAGTATTGCTAAGCCTGGCATTTGGCCATTAATGCTGTCTTTCACTTTTGTAATGTAAAGAAATAATAGATTTATGACAACTTGGGTAATACTTTTGAGCATCCAACTATTCCTTTAGATATCAAAGAAATTTCAATTCATGATGGTTTCTCCTTCTTTGTGAGCTATGTAGGAATAGCCTCAACTTGCAGAAAGAAAATTTGATGTCAGCTCTTAGGTTTTCTGATTTTCTTTTGCAAGCCTATTTAATTATAAAAACAATATCAACACTAAAGAGTTATATAAATGGGAGGCATTGATGTATGCTCAAATGAATACAATATCAAAAATAATGTATGGCCCAATATTTTGTTTATATCAGATTTCATTACAGATTTAACATTTAATATATATGTGCTGATGAAGTTGTCTTTATTATTCTTTATATACAAGAGGTGCATTGTTCATTCAATTTATCATGGAAAAGGAGAAGAGTTTGGATGAACCACGTTAGTTTTTGTACATTATTGGGTTGAAATAAACACAAGACATGGAATTTTTATGAATGATTTGGCACAGGCCTTTTTTTATGTAATGACTTTCTTCATTGCCCCTCTCGGAAAAGAAGTACAGTTTCACTTTCAGTTGACACACAGAATATTAGCTCACCTTAGGATCTTTTTCTGTTTCATTTTTTTTGCTGTTGTTGTTTGTTTGTTGTGTTTTGTTTTTGACCAGTCCTGGAGTTTGAACTCTGCACCTGGGTGCTGTCCCTGAGCTTCTTTTGCTCAAGGGGAGTGCTCTACCACTTGAGCCACAGTGCCATTTCTGACATTTTTGAGTAGTTTATTGGAGATAAGAGTCTCACAGTGTATCCTGCCTGGGCTGGCTTCAAACCGCAATACTCAGATCTCAGCCTCCTGAGTGGCTAGTATTACAGGTGTGAGCTACAGGTGCCTGGTTTTCTCTGTTTTTAAAAAGAACATTTTTTTCTGTAGAACTATTTGGAAATTTCTTGTTTACATTTTCAAGAGTTTTTTGGTGTGTAAGAAGACTTAGGAATTAGTTTTGCATTTCAGGTTTTTTCCTTAAGATATAATTGGGTGTGAGACTAACAGTGCACTGTAGACTTTGAATAGCTTACAACTTTGTATTTAAGATACTAGACATTTAAATTTTTCTATCTAAATTAATGCTATTGTTAATTTGGTTCTTAATCCTTTAAGAGACCTTGTGGTTTCCTATGAAAAATGTCAAGCTTTCACATTAATGTTACTGAATGTCCCTTTTGGCTTATTTTTACAATGGCAAATGATAAAATGTGAAGCATTATTATTTTTAAACAATTCTTTTAAAAAAGACTTTCCATTTTAAATTTAGTAAAAGAACGGAACTTGCTTGACTAAATTAAAAGGCTGAGGGATTTTTGAAGGTCTGCATTTAAAAATATTCAAACTTCATTATTTTATAGGATGTTAAATCCATGCATGTAAGTGCCCACTAGCTTTGTTTCATCAGTCAGATGTCCTCATGAATAGAATTCCAGTTTAGTCAAGGAATTTGAAGATGCATTTCTGAGAGTCACAATTGGAAAGGAAATCTCCTCCACTACTGATAACTTCTAATTTCTGGACTAAATTCCCAAAGGAATGGCAGCAATATTTAAGAAAACATGAGTCTAATTGAACAGATCACAACTAGTTAATGCAGATAAATAAAAGGAATCTAACATGCTTTAGAAAAACAGGACCTTGGACACCAGTTATCTGTGATTTGTCTTACTATGAAACAGAATGTGATAGATTGCATAGTGTCTCACAATTATTCATATCTACTTAGAATCTTAGAATATGACCTAATAAATATGTGTATATTATTCATAATATTCATATATTCTTCATGATACATATTGCCTATCTAATTAGTTTAAATGAGGTAGTTCTGAATGGGGGGGGGTAGGTCATAATCAAACAATGAGTATCTATTTTTGAAGAGAAATAAGAGAGGCAATGATATACACCCAGGGTGAATCCATGTAAGATAGAGACAAAGATTGGAGAAGTCAATGGATTCCATGGACTGCCAGAAATCACCTGAAGCCAGGAGGTAGCAAGAGAGGATTCTCTCCTAGAATCTTCAGAGTGAGCATGGATTTCAAACTTTTAGCCTCTAGTGTTGGAAGCAGTAAATTTCTCTTGTCTTAAACTACTCAATTTAGTACTTTGTTATAGCAGCCTCAGGAAGCTAAGTCACATAGGTTCGTTGCCTGGGGTTCATTTTCACAGGGGAGTGAATATAGATCGGAAAATATAATACATCTTTATCTTCACCCAACTCTATCTGAAAATAACTATTGCTTTATGTTATGGATATGGGCAAAATACTGTACCAGTATTTGCTCTACTAGCATTTGCTACAAATTCACTCATAAAATCACACAAATTTGATATCAAACTATAGTTGCAGGTTTCTTAATATATAATTTAGCTCATCACTACTATGAAAGTGCAGTACCAATTAGGCATATTATTTAATAAGATATTTAATAAGTTAATAAGAAGCACACATGCTTCTACATCATAATACTTATTTTTACAATGATATTTAACTGATATCTATTTTAATCCTGTGTATTTATATCTTACATTTATGGTCATTATCTTGAAGAGTTCATGAGCTTCACCACATAATAGAGGATATGTTGTATAAAGTGAAGTATGTTTTCTCTAAACCTATTTCAAGTAGGCTTCTACTGGCGTAATTACAGCCCATTTTAAGTGTGAAAGTTCTGAAAACATTCTGATACACATAATGGCAAACATATAGATTTTCTTGAGTTGTCTGTAATCCTAGCTACACAGGAGGGTGAGATTTGAGGATCACGATTGGAAGCCAGCCTGGGCAGAAAAGCCCTGGTTAGATTCATCTCCAATTAACCACTTAACAGCTGGAAATGGAACTTTATCGCTTTGAGCTACAGCTCCATTTCCACTTGCTTTTTGGAACATTTTCAAAGTTAATGCTATTATCTTCAGTATTAAAAATAGTTGTCTTCACCTTTGTAAAGAATTTTAAAAAACACTTCCATAAATAGCAAAATAATGAAACCATTTTCTCACCAATTTCCCATATTGTTGAATAAACTTCTTCATTTCTAGAAAAAATTACTAGCTCTGTTTGATTTACTGTTTATCATTAATTTAGGCCTAAATATTTTACAACTCTATAAAGTTAAATGCTAATTTTTAGAAGACATGATACACTGCAAATGACTTTTCTTTTTATTTATTTATTTATTCATTTATTTTTTAAATTGTGAAAATACCGTACAGAGGGGTTACAAGCATTGTTGCCTCTTCCTTTGTTTCCCTTCCCATCCCATCCCATCTCCCCTTCCCCCCTTCCCCCCCTGCCCCATGCCAAAGTTGTAAAGTTCATTTTTCGACATAAAGTCTTGTACATCTCATTGTTGCAATGGGTCCATCTGTATCCCTATTTAAACAATTTGGTTTTTTTCCCTTCCCCTCCACAAATTATACCAACATCTTTAAGTAGAAAAATACAGTTTACCATCTAAAAAGGTATAGGATAGTAACTAATTTTATATCTTTTTTAACAAACTTATTCCAAGTTTTTAATTTGCTGATTATATAAAATCTTGCTTCTCCAGTTGTCTTTTGAACCAGATTTTTCTTCCTACTGACACTCCTATAACTGTGTGAAATCCACTGTGTATTCATTACAATTTACATGAAAATTGTTTCTTGATAAAATTTCACTTTGGCTATAGGCAGTAAGATTATTAATTAACTTCTTTGTATTTTTTTCTCTTTTCCAAAATTTCTAAAATAAGCCTGTGTTACATCTATAAAATGAAAAAAATGTTTAACAGAAAATATCTATTTTGCTCATGTTTCTTTATGCATACATGATCCTAAGTATTCAAAGGAATTTCAGTGATTAAAGACAAAACAATTCTAGCAATCAATGGTGTTTTCTTTTACTTTTCTGTCAATAGCAAAATGATATACAATGAGGGACTAAATAAACTTTAGAATATGAGACGTGTATATGTATTGACATTCACTTATGAATGTGACAACATAGCAAGTTGGGCAGTGAGAGTAATTTTCAATATACTGTTTTCTCATACTATAAATGAAAGAATAGCAAATGTTGGCTAAAATTCAATAACTACCACAGTTAAGATACATAGTATAATTTGGACATTGATTGCCTTTGAGAACCTTCTCCTCAGGCAACATCAAGATAGATAGATATCAATAATTAGTAGTTCAGCTAGGGGTTGAGCCACAGATTTCAAGTTGAGTAAACTACAGGGACCCTGTACATTCACTTAAACACTGATAATTGCCAGTACTCCCCGTGGCCAACTCCACTTATTTCACTTGTTTTCCCTTTGAATGAGTCTGTTTTCACTAAGGCTGTGGGGTGCCAAGCCACTGGCAGGAGCCAGGATTGCAGTTTGCTGGCTTTCAGTGACAAACCACTAAATACAGCTGATTCCACACATTTCATTTCTATGCTTTCTTTTTGGGAAGGCAGAAGGGATTTACAGCTGCATATTAAGAACATCTACAATTCCTAACTCAAAAACACACCCCCTCCAATTATTTCACAAATTATCTTGTTACCATTGATTTTGAACTTATTTTTTTAGATCTGAATCACCTGGAGAAGAGTGAAAGCTGTTTATATTTGTATTTTCTGAAGTCTAACACCAACTGTGAGCTTTTCACTTTTGACTTGGAATGAAAAGAGGGAAGGAAAAAGGCTGGGAAAATTTTTTTTTCCAGGAAGGATGGATGGTCCCTAGTCCTTCTACCACCATCTGCCTTTCAACTATTTTCCCCATATATATCTATAACATACAGTGTCTATTTGTTTACCTACCTATCATCCCAAATTTTGTGTTATAAAACTATGACCCTGATGAGTGTATTGGACTCTTTTTCCCTTTCCTTTCCTTTCTTTTTTCTTTTTCTTTTTCCTTTTTTGTTTTCTTTTGAGCCAGTTTTAAGGTTTGAACTCAGGGCCTGGGCACTCTCCCTGAGGTTTTCCACTCAAGCATGACACTTTACTACTAGAGCCAAAGATCCACTTCTGGATTTTAATCGGAGACAAGAGGCTTCATGACTGGGCTGGCTTTGAACCATGATCTTCAGATCTCAGCCTCCTGAGTAGCTAGGATTACAGGCACAAGTCACCTATGCCCTAGGTTTGGACTTTATTCTAAACTAAGATATTCAGATTCTCCATGGAGAACCAACTAGATATGCTATAGGTCATAAACATAAGTTTTTTGTTTGTTTGTTTCAGTCACAGGTCTTGAACTCAGGGCTTAGGCTCTGTCCCTGAGCTCTTTTTGCTCAATAGCTTTCTGTCAATTTAAGCCACAGCACCAAGTCTGGTTTTCTGGTATTTAAGTCAAGATAAGAGTCTCACTGCCCAGGATGGCTTTGAACTGTGATTCTCAGATCTCAGCTTCCTGAATAGTTAGATTTATAGGCATTAACCACCAGCATGCGCAGCATAAACAGAATTTTGACTGTCAGTTCAAAAAATTAATTTAATTGAGAAAAAAATTAAATGATCATTTTCTATTTTGAGACAAAGTATCATTATACAATTCATGTTGGCATCAGATTCACTATGTGGGCCAACCAGTTCTTAAAAGGCTTGCAGAACTGCTGAATGACTACTCAATCTTGACAATTTTATGGTGGACCATCATTCTCAATGAGAAATTTTGTTATAAAAGATGAAAGTTTGGATAATAAATTGACCACAGAAAGTCCCTTTCATTCCTTTTGAGAACTCTATGAAAAGTGTACCAATTTTGTTTTCCTGTGGGAACCACTTAATGCTTGGCACAGAGTAGGTCCAAGAATATTTGTTTAATTTATACATTGAGAGATATACTTTGCCAAAATTCAGCCTGCTAGGAGTCCATGCTGGTAACCACGGTTCTGTACAGAGTTCGTTGGCAGCAAGAAGTTAATATTTGATTTGAGTCAAGCTGAGAAAGATACTCAAAATAACAGCTTCTTCCTTGCATTTTTAATCAGAGCAATATTGTCTTTCTTATTAGATTTGTATGTAATTTATGATCATAATAAGTCTATCTCAGTCATGTTTGCTGCTTTAGTTTCATGTGAAAATATAAACACCTTCAGATGGATGCTGAAGTGGAAACTACTTTTCAATATGTCAAGTTAACAGTTTTCCTTTAACAGTTCTAACCAAAGTCATAATATATGTATTATGTAACTAACTGTATGTATTTTAAGCAAGGTTATCATCAAAAGAACATCTCTTCCCCCTCCACTTTTTTTTTCTTAAACACATTCAGAAACTGTTACTTATTGCCTAAAATACACTTATCTATGTATCCTAAAATGCTTTTCACAAAGTGCTCTCAATATACCTACTCATACCCTATAGAAGAGCTGCTTGCTAAATTGTTGCTCTCTTGCCAAGTGTCTACTGGTATTCTGAATCAAGGAGAGGGAAATGATAAGAATTAGTTGAATAAAATCAAAGCACATTGAATATATGTATAAAACATCATAGAATCTGTTACAATAAACAATTTAAATTACAATATTATTACATACAATAACAAATTCTTAGAAAGAAAATGAAATGCAAGGCCCCATATCTTGTTGCCACCAGTAACAGGTGTCTTACAGCAACAAAGGAGCCTTGAAATACACATCTAAATAGATTAATAGAAGAATGGCAATGTAATCGAAGGGCTTTACAAGTATCTTGCTATATTTTGACTACTGTCATCATCATTAATAATGCAAATACAATCTATTTAAAAATGGCTCCTTTTAATGCAGAAGGACAACTTTTACCCACAATAATAAATATATTGTGTTTCAGCCTTGCTGATAATAACACAAGATAGTGTTTAATTAGTTATACTCTTCACCAACCAATATTGCTTTAGAGATGAAATGATTTTCATCTTTATAACTTACTATGCTTAGGGACATTTAGGAAGGCTCTGTACTACAGTGGGTGGCAAGTACTCTTATTAGTTTTCTCAATGCTTATTAAGCAGAGCTATGATTTAATTTATTTTGGTCAATGTCTCTATATTCTAGCTGGTGATGAAGTCATATGATGTTTGTACAGAAAGACCTTCAGTTATTAGCCTTATGAATCTGGTAAAACATCTAACATTGCAGAGATTCTGTACAAGAGTTATAAGAATAAGAACACTTTTATATAAACCAATTTTGCTGAAACTTTTTGAAAGTCACCTTAAGTGACTTTCTAGCAAATTTTTAAATAACATGCAAATACAATGCATTAAACCAACTTTATAATCTACTGCATTTAAATAACTATTGTATTATATCCTCTGCACAAGGTTTTTTTTTTTTAAAAGAAACTATGTTTGATGATACTCCCAAGTTATTCATTTCTTGGTATGACTTCTAAATTTTTCCTTATATTTATCATATTGCTATATTGCGACATTCAAACAGAAATCTTCAAATACACACACACACACACACACACACACACACACACAAACTATTAACAATTAAACTGTTCAATGTTATGAGTAGAGCCCTTATATCTTCTATTTTGTTTCACTAAATACTGAATTATTTGGACATCCAACAAAACTCACAACTCACAGTTTATAAAACTCTAGCCTAACAGCTTAAATACACAAAATGTACCAAAACAGAATAAACCAAATTAAACTCAACACAAGAAGAAATGATCCTTGTAGCATTATTTCTCGTGACTTCTTTCTATGCACTTTTTTTTTTTTTGGTCGGTCATGAGGCTTGAACTCTGGGCCTAGGGGCTGTCCCTCAGCTCTTCAGCTCAAGGCTAGTGTTCTACCAGTTGAGCCACAGCACCACTTCTGGTTTTCTGGTGGTTAATTGGAGATATGTGTCTCATAGATTTTCCTGCCCAGGCTGGCTTTGAGCCATGATCCTCAGATCTCAGCCTCCTGAGTAGCTAGTATTACAGGTGTGAGCTGCTGGCACCTCGCTCTATACATCTTTATGTGACCAAAACCCACTCTTGTTATACTATACATCAAAGTTTTCCCTCATACAACCACTTTTCAAATGTTTCTGCATTTCCTAGGTTTGCACTTCTCTCTGTTATTTACATAGATCTTTACATGTTTCAAATGTTTAAATGTTTTTCAACTTCAGTAATCTTGGATTTTCTGAAAGTAGATGAGTGTTTTATCACTTTCCCTAAGCTAAATACCTAGAAATGGTCTGACCCAGAGCAGCTCCAAAGTAAGTTTGTTTGGTAAAGGCTATGTGACATTGATGAAAATGTTGGAGATAAATGCTGAAAGTATGCTTAGTAGTGGTTCATAGATTTTTTTTAATACACAGGTAATGTTATGGGAAGATGCAAGAATGGTTGTTTCCTTAACCCCATGTCTTGTGGTACTGGTGAATGTAACTGCTATCGTTTGTTATCTCTAATACTCTTGTTAGAAATGAGTGGCTATGATCACAGAATTAAGAGCTGGAATCTTTAATACATGATCAGGACGTCAGGATTTTATGCTCACAAATAAGATTAGTTCCATCACAATAGAATCCAATGAATATGCTACAAAAGTAAGAAGAGACTGTAACAAGAGTGGGTAGGAGAGAGATGGGTGGGGTGGGTGAAAATGTTGAAGATAAAGTATATTCTGATTTGTTAAATGGCAACTCCTATGTACAAATATTTAAAGATAATAAGAGTAAAAATAAATTAAATTGAAAGACATACAACTTGGTTCTGTCTCTCTTCCATTCTCCACCTGTTTCCCATAAACACACCAACAAGGTCCTAATAAGATGCTAGCAACTTGACATTGACTTCTCAGTCTCCAGAACTATGAGCCAATAAATGTGTAAATATTAATATTAGTCACTCAAAGGTATTTTTATAGCACACAGAATGAGCTAGAATAGTCACCTATTTCTCTTTTCTGGGTAATATTGTAATTTTATTTCAAACTTTCTGTTCTTAATAATATCCCAAGGAGACTATGAAACATTTCACCAGTTCAGCCTTCTTTTAATGAATTTATATTAGATGCTCATGTATTGGTTGAATTGCCCTGAGCACTCTTGTATGGATTGCCTTGGATACCTAATTAAATTTGCAAATCTGTATGAATTATGGATTGAATGAGTTTGTTCATTACAGTATATGTCTTAAACAAATGTTCACATGCCTCCATCAAATTATGCTATTTGGCTTATTATTTTTGACAATCACTTTGTTTTTGAGTAACAGTTGTTTCAACAATCTATTATTAGTATTAAAAATATATAATCGGTAAACACAATAGCCAAATATTATAAAAACAACAAATACAAATTTGGAAATAAAATGTTTCAAGCATGTGTTACAATACTTAAAATTAGCAATAAAATAGGATTTTCAAATAAATCCATGTTAACTGAGATTTACAATACAATATAAGCTTGTACTATTAGTAGCAAAGCCAAGATTTGGAGAACTATGCTGGCACATTAAATTTATTCATTTTCACAGCCTGCAGACATTTTAATGTCTGAGTAGCAATAAGAACAAATTACCTAAAAACTTTTAATAGGGTATAATAAATTAAGGCTGAATGGTAATGTAAAAGTGGATACAACAGGACAAAATTATGAATCTCATATAATGATCCAACAACACTTAAAGTGTGGAAGTAACATTGGTATTCTGGGATATATGACCACTATTGATCCTAATTGTTTCTCTCTTGTCAAATAGAAATTGCACATCAATCTCAAAGCATTGCAAAGTCTTCATTACATGTAAATGGTTATGTTTCACAGATTCTTCAAGGGAAATTCAACCTTCTTTACAAAAGGAGCCAGGCTAGAAGAGTTACTCTGATGACACTATACATACATTAGAGTTTCTCATTTATAAGCACCACAAATCATACATGCCAATAAGGGGATTCGTTGTGAGGAAATGAAGGGGTTCACAATATGGAAGAGTAAATGAAATAATCAGATCTGAATACGCTCAGTGCCAGCAGCTTATCACATGATATGTATCTTATTGATTTTTGAGGCATTTCCATTAGAATACATGAACACCAAGCTTATAATTTACCTTAACATTCAAAATCTCAAGAGGAAATACAATTGCATTATTGTAGGACCTATATTTAGCACCACTTGGGTGGTGAGAAAAAAAGCTCCAGCAGGACAACCTCTAAAAGTGTTATACAACATGGCAATACATTTGATGTATAATCCCTTGAAGAATGATCAGAACTCCAAGTAGAACTTGTGATACCATCAGACAAAAGAATAGTTGCTATACATATGCTAACTACATTGATGTGACCATTGCATCATGTGTACATGTAGCAAAGCTTAATAATGCTGAGGGTAGAGGCATGGCTCAAGTGGTAGATGTTCAGCTGTGTGATTAAGTAGCCTCTCTGAGACCCTAAATTCAATACCAAGTCCTAGCAATGGGAGTAGAGTCTAATACTACAGCCCACAACTATACATAATAATTTGATATTTGAAAGTAAATCTTAGAAACTGTTAATTCTGGAATTGAATGTGACTTAACTAATTATTTGATTTTTTCTTTTTATGATGGTATGACTATTTTAAAATTTTTTTATTATAAAGATGCTGTACAGCAGGGTTATAGTAACATGAGTAAGGTAATGAGTACATTTCCTATCAAGCACTGCTACCCCCTCTTTGTTTTTCTGCGACCATCCCTTTCCTCCCCACCTCCCCAACCCTCCCTCCCACCCACCCCCAAAGTTGTAATGGTCATTTTCAACATAGTATCTTGTACGTCTCATTATTACAATGGGTCAAATTGTATCTTTGTTTCAGCATTTTATTTCCTTTCCCCTACCCAAATTAGAAAAATGTATATAGAAGATGCAGGGCACCAGAATCAAATACAGTATTTTTTTTTTCAGATTCTTTTTTATTTATTTTTTTATTGTGAAAATACTGTACAGAGGGGTTACAATTACATGGGCAAGATAATGAGTACATTTCTTATCAAGCATTGTAGTCTCCTCCTTTGTTTACCCTTCCCATCCCTTCCTATCCTCATTCGCCCCCCACCCAATCCTCCCCCCCTCAAGTTGTAAAGTTCATTTTCGACATGACAACTTGTACTTCTCATTGTTGCAACAGGTCTTTTATAAGCATGGACTAAATCCAAGTCTGTTACACAAAATAAAAAGAATGTTTGTAAAAAAGATCAAAGTTACTTTTGTACTGTAACTTTTCATTTTTCGACCTTCTAAAGGAGATATGTAATGTTATTGACAACTATATAGATGTGCCTTTGTAACTATAATGTACCCATAAACAATATGTAAATAAAACAGCATAGTTGGGTTCCACTAAAACTTTATTTATAAAAACAATTGACTGGGCTGGGAATGTGGCTTAGTGGTAGAGTGCTTTCTTAGCATGTATGAAGCCCTGGGTTCACTTCCTCAGCACCACATAAACAGAAAATGCTGGAAATGGCACTAAGACTCAAGTGGTAGAGTGCTTGTCTTGAGCAAAAGAGCTGAGCAACAGTGCGCAGGCCCTGAGTTCAAGCCCCAGGACTGGCAAAAATTTAAAAAAAAAAAACAACCCACAAGTGACTGCTAGGATTCATCTCCATTGCTTGCCCTTCTCAAAGAACTGGATATTGATGTGATAAATATTAATTTGCAATATTATACTAATATTAAAAAGTATATATGTAATCATTAATTTTACTGCAAGCATTCTAGTGACATCACATGTATTTACTCATGAACAATACATCACATGAAATCCTAGATCCATGATAGTATGTAAATATGTTTTTATAAATTTTACATAAATTCATAAAGCAATGTTATATACTGGCAAATAGGAATAATAATGAGCCTGTTAGCCCTTGAGGAAATGCTATCATACAAACAAATATGCACTCATAGTCATCACTATATTTAATTGCTCTTATCTTTGAACCTTTCTTCCTTGTTAATTTTGATTAGAAGGCATTAATAAAAAGTTATTTCAAGTAAAATTTTGTCAATTAGAGTCTTACTACACTGTTTACCAACAACTCAGTTTCTGGCCTATATCAATAATTTCATTACACAGTAGGAAAATTTACTACTAGTATGACTAGACACTTGCTATTCAAATTAATGAATAGTTCATCCTGAGCACACTAAACTGTGAATAGTCATGTTGTATTAGAATTTGCCAATTTTTCCATTGTTCAAAATTTACAACTTATGGTAAAATATTTCCTCACTCTCTTTGTATAACTGGTTTATGTGTGGCTTTTCCTGAATACTTCCTTTTACAATATTACATTTTTACCTGGCTCCCACATTTATGTTTTCCAAAGTAAGGCTGATAATGGCAGAGATATAATAGATGAATATCAAGAAAGACAAAAATATACTTAATGTTTTTTTTAAATAAAGCATCATTTTCTATGGGCTAGATCTTGTCATTTCTGGAGTGCTCACAAACTATACTTTACTTCTACCTTAGCCTAATATGCTGAACTCATGAGATCATGAGTTCATTGGTAGAAAGTAGGTTCTTAGTCAACCTCTATGTCCCTATCAGCAAATAATATCTGCCTTTTAAAGAATTAGCCCACAAGAAGTTTTTTTTTTAATGTATTCTGTTATTTCAGATACAATTTAATGAGTAAGAGAATGCAATCTGACTATTGTTAAACTATCAGCAAATGTGAGAAATTTATTTATTTTGTACACAGAAGAGAATATTTGGAATGTAATGACAAAAAAAGGACAAGAAAGGGAGAAAAGACAAATTTGGGAATATTTTTCCAATAAAAATAAATCAGTGAAAGTATAAATCTTATTTATTGATGCATGTTCACTATATGAAGAAATGGTTTTCTGTACTGAAGTACATTGGTGAGTAAGAAAGACAGTTTCCCTTCTGGTGGAAGATACACATGAGAAATATGTAAATATCAAAATTTTGGTAAGTTGCAGTGTTATTGTTAAAGAGGATAATTTGAACTAAAGGCAATCCTATATGTGTGCTTGTATATGAGTTGTCAAAAAGGATTTCTGACATTGGAACAGGAGGACATATAAAAAGAGATATATGCTAAACAAAAATGGGAGACAGTGAGACATGGAAAATATAGGCTGGGGAGAATGTAGTATCTTCAATGGAAAAAGAAAATTAAGGGCAGGCACTTATGGTTCATGCTTGTAATTCTAGCTACTTGAGAGGCTGAGAATGGGAAGAACTTGATTCAAGGTCAGCCAGAGAGAAAAGCACATGAATTTCCCCCCACCCCCACTCCTCCTTTTCAACCCATAGCTGGGTTCAATCTTGTGATACTAGGCCAGCTCATGTAGAAAAGTCTGAGATATTCTGTCTCCAGGGAGGAAAACTGCATGCAATAGTGTGCAGCTGTCTTTTCAGTGTTTAGTAGACTGCTGGCATATCATAACTAAAGCAAGTGCCTGGGCAGGAGGCAAGACTTTATCCTATAAATAACCAGTGAGAAAGAGGGCTGGCATTACTTTTCAGAAGTATATCACCAGGAAGCCCTAAGTTCAAACTTCAGGCTTGAAAAAAAGTAAGCCCCATTTGTTAGGAAATGGAAAGACTCGGAAAAAAATATATTAAATGAAGTAAGCCAGGCCCAAAGAAACATAGGTCCCATGGTTTCCCCTATTTGCAATATCTAGTATATGTCTGAGTCAACCAGAAAAGGTCAGATAAGGTGATGTTAAGGGAATGAACCCCAAGATAAGTATTCAAATGTTTTTTTCTTTCATGCAATTGTTTCTAACACATTTATAAGATTATTTCTTTGTTGCTTTGTATGTCCCTCCCCCATAGTATAACCCCTGCTTTCACTGCATTTGATGTCGGTATAGTTTGTGGAGGAGAAGGGGAAAAACAAATCGTCTAAATAGGGCTACAGGTGGACCCATTGCAACAATGAGAAGTACAAGTCGTTATGTTGAAAATGAACTTTACAACTTTGGTGCCGGGAGGCGGGGGAGCGGGGAGGATTGGGTGGGAGGGCGGGGGAGGGATGAGAAGAGATGGGAAGGGGAAACAAAGGAGGAGGCTACAATGCTTGATAAGAAATGTACTCATTATCTTGCCCATGTAATTGTAACCACTCTGTACAGTATTTTTACAATAAAAAATAAAATAAAATAAAAAGATAGAAATAAGTATTAGAAGGCCTGGTAAGAAGATACTGAGAATATCAAGAAAGGCAATATGTCTGGAACATTTTCATTGTATTGTTATTTCATAAAAAGTGCATATATTAATATGTGTATTTAACTATCTACTTTTGTTTCTCAGTATTTCTATGCTGATGTGAGCAATTTACTCTTTGTTTCAATTTGAGATGTATAATCTGCATGCTCCACATTTTGTTCTCATTTGTCTTGAGTAACATTGGGGATCCTTTAGGAATGATTTGTTTTCCGTACATGCTAAGAAGCTCTCTATTTCTATGTTTATTGAAGTAAATTGTAGTTTGGGCTCTTGGTTCTTTCCTATAATATACAACAATCTGTCATCTTCTTAAATATGTCATGCTGGACAACAGTTTCGTAAGAACAAACTACTGAAATTACCCAAATATTTTAATACAATTATTTATGAAAGATAGGGTTCAGTTAAAGCCCCTCTCTGAATTTCTACACTGTGCTAAACTCCCAATAAATCTGTCATTTGCTACTTCTGTAAAGATTCATGGGAGCCAAGAAGTTGGAGAATAGTTTCTAAGCAGCAATAAAAGGCTAACAATATTTACGAAAGAATGAAGTGCCCAACTGTTTAACTGTATTAAGAGACTGAATTCTCATGCCACTACCAAATAATAACATTGAAAAGCTCATATTAAAATGTGTTCCCCTCCTTATAAATCGCTGTAACTCTAAAGCAAGTGACTAGAGACAAATTGTCTTAGCAATAAATTTTCTTGCTGATTCCCTTATGTTAGTGCACATCCTCTAGTTACATAAAGCAGGATAGTTTTGTGACCACAAAATGTAATCATTTGAAATTTTATTACTGCTAGTGATAGTATGAATTTTTCTTAACTTTGGGATCCCAAAGAAGGGCAACAGATGGCAGAAATATTTACTCAAGTGATTTTTCTATCAAAGTTTCTATCAGCATTTGAGTCTCAGCAGTGTGGCTGTTAAGAAGCCGTCAAATTCACCAGCCAGCTGGTGAAATCAGAACTGTAAAAACTGACTATATAGAAAAGCATGCTTGTATCCAATTTAGCCTTTATACCATATGCCTTTTTGAGGTAGTGGGTAATTTGATCTGTATTAATATAATGCCAATTATCTTATAGAGTCTTTTGTGGGAGTTACATTACCAATCAAATATTAAGAGTCTTAAAATGAATCCTAATAAAAATACAAATCTCACTCTGTAGAGCCTGTCAGTGACCTATGTGCATCCCTTTAACATTCATCGTTTCTGTACAAACCAATAGCTTTTCAAAAGCAGCAACTGCTATATGAAGGTTTTTTGGGGCTGTGAGCACAAAAAAGTAGAATGAGAAGAATGAAAAACCCTGAGCATTTCCATTAAGAAGAAGGGAGCCTTTTCATACGCACACTTGTTTCAAACTTCTGGCCAGGAGTCATCTCAATTCCATTGTGCTCTGTGAATCTAAACTCATCAGAGCTGGATCCTTTACAAAGTACTTTCTTCAATCACAAATAGCCAAGGTAAGGCAAAATTGGAGAACAGCTTAAGTTGTCTTTGACATTTTTGTATTCTTTCTTTGCTATTCTCCCCAACTGCAAGTACCAGTGCCCTCTCTTTCTTACCCACTCATTGTTCCCCATCTGAGGGATCATAAAAAGAATCACATGAGTTTGTATGGAATTTGCCATTCTCCATGCCTACTTTGAATTTGAGGAAAAGAAAAGTATCTTTTTTCTGACAATGATAGTTGATGGTAAAACAATATAAGCATTCAAATACACTATATTTAATCCATGTTGACCTAAGTTTTAGCCTATCCTAATGAACTTGACTTATTATTACATCTCAAAGTAAACAGTCTTAATAAAATTTCTCATATCAAAATATATGTATTTGACATCACTGTATAATATAAATTATGAAGCAGAAATATAGTAACATTGATGGGGATCCCAGAAGACTGATTAATTTAATACTAATAAAAATTATTTTTCCTAAAACTAGCAGTGAATTTACATCAAAATATCACAATGCTGTTTGACTCTCTATGCTTCTTGTTGTTGACTTAAACCCTTAAAAGTACATGTACACAATCTCATTGCTGATTGTTGATTTCAAATGGCATCTCTTAAGACTCAAAGCCTCAGATTTGTTCATAAAATATTCTTTAGAAAGCACTCATTTTATATGGTTCACTAAGCAACCTTATCCTATAAAACAAGCAGGGTAATTTTCCATTTATAAGAAGAATATTTAGTCCTGTTAAATACTAAATCTAATAGTGTTTTTTTTATTATTTTTACTGGCAACTGTGACAATTTTTCAGTCCCATTCAATAACAGCTCATATGTTAACACTTACTTTTTTCTAGTCCAGAAAAATAGGCTAAACTCAAATGTTAGAGCATTTTATGATTTTTACTTTCCTGTTTTCACTCAAGGTAATTGATGACACACCAACTCACTTTGTCATCATATGAGTTAACATTATTTTCATAACTTTGCTTCATGGTATTCAGCTTTCTCTCTGAAAACTTCCATTAACTTTTCTTCTTGTTAGCTAGAAAATGAGTAGGCAGAAGTGTCAGCTATCTGAGGCGAATGTGTTGGGCTGAATTGGAACTTTCTTCAATTTTTAATCCAAGAGATACACTATGAGAAGATAGCAGCACATTTCATGAGAATAAAGTTTAATGGAATTTCCCGGTAGGTCACTCTACATTTCATATAGTTGAGGACAATAATTCAGTAAAAGAATTTTAGTTTTTTATAAATATAATCACTTATATTGGGTAATTATTTAAGGTTTACATTTAATGTGTAATTACTTCGTGGAAAAATGCTATTCATACTAAATGGTTCCTATTTATCTAATTGTTAAAGTTTAGAGAAGAGAAAGCAGAGACAAAGAAAGATCTAAGACAAATTCATAAGATTCTTCAAGCTAAAGATTTTTTAAGCTAAATAAACTGGAATATAAACCCACTGTTCCAAATCTCTAATAGAGTCCAATGTGACATATCAATATTTTAGTAGGTGATGGCATTTCTCCATTTACTTGAATTCTACTTCTTGAACAAACACATAAATATATATAAAGATAACTGAATAGATTTACTGACAAACTAATTTTAATGGCATATTCTATAGTTGATATTTTCTCCAGTCAAACAATATGATATTTTTTAAGACGTTCTCCATGGTAACATGGTCAATTGCTTTGGAATATTCTGCAATATTATAAATGAATACAATTAATTTTATCACTCTTTTGTGACAGAGAAAAATATTTGAGTTACATGGAGCCAAACCACCTTTCTGGTATTAGAAGTTATTTTATTCTAAATGATAATACAGAGCCTCAGTTAGGCACTAATCTCTCTTCTTAGAAGTAAAAATAATATATACAATGCAGTTCATTGCAATAAATATGGACAAGTTTACAATATATAAAGAATATTTTTCTGTTTATTATCTAGACTTTATGTGTGTGTCTCCAAGCTCAAATTTAGATCTGTATGTATTTTGTAGTACATTGGCTACTTGGTTGAATTCCCTCAAAGTAAACATTAATTGTTCATGTCATCAAATCTGCTGCTGGCAGCAACCATCTACCTCCTGTTTCCTAAGAAAATTTCACAGCAAATATTTAAACTCTCCTATTCATTATTAATCAGTAATGATGATTACTCATACTAAGTGAAGTAAGCCAGACCCAAAGAAACATTGGCTCCATATTCTCCCTCATTCGTAATAAATAGTACATGTCTAGGATAGCCCTAGCAGAGATCACAATAGCTCAATAGCTATGTACATATGAATACATAAGATGAGGCTAGGGCAAATGAACTCCAAGATATGGAAACAAGAGATTTTACTTTGTTATAATTGTTTGTAATGTACTTTTTCTTTCATTTCTTTTTCCTTTGGTTTATCCCCTGTTGTCACTGTATTTGATTTTGGTACCCTGTGTCTTGTATGTGTATATATTTATCTGAATTGGGGAAGAGAAGGGGAGAAACAAAATAGTGACACAAAGGACAAAGGGCAAGCCAATGAAACAAGGATACACACGAGAAAATATGTGGGAAATGAACTTTACAACTTGGGAAGTGGTTAGGGGAGGGAAAGTGGGAGAAAAATGAGGGAGGGGTAACAATGTTTGACAGGAAATGTACTCATTACCTTACATATGTAACTGTAATCCCTCTATACATTACATTGATTATAAAATCAAATTTAAAAATGATTACTAAGACAGCTGAGATTTCTAAACATCCCATAAGTAGAGGTTTCCTATAATATCTTACTGGATCCTTTTTCAAAATCTTATTTTGAAATTTAACATAGCCTTGAGTATTTTACATTTGTGCTTATTAATGTACATGTGGATGTATAGATGTGTGTACATGTACATTACTTTTGGCTTACAATCACTAAAGAAGAAACAAATGTATCAATGTTTATAGGATTTATGACCTCTGACAGCTACAAAAGTTTTCTCTTCAAGTCTAGAATTTTTCATTGATATGCAAATTAAGAAAGCAATAGATTAAATAAGACCACATTTAAGTGACCAGTACAACTATTTTCATCGCAGCATTGTTTACCATAGCCAAGATATGGAGTCAACCCAAATGTCCCTCAGTGGACAAATGGATCCGGAAATATGGTATACTACTCATCCATCAAAAAGACTTGGAAAAAAATATATTAAATGAAGTAAGCATGGTTTTGCTAATTTGTGGTAGCTAGAATGTGCCTATAAATCTACAAGCAAACTGGATTGTACAAGAAAAAAGTACACTGGGGCATGAGAAGTTATACAGGTCCCTAGGCATTCTCACAGAGTGAGACCAAAGGAAGATATTCTCTATAGAGGATCACATAGGTGCAACAGTTATATGCATCTGACAGTATAAACTCTCTATAGAAGGTGGAAACAAGGGATATTTTTTCCTTAATGTCATTTTTGTTTTCATTTTCTTTTGTTTGTTTATCTGTCTTTGAGAAGGTAAAGGGGGCACCGAAAGGGTGGGACAAAGGGTTAACAAATGCAGCAGTGATACTTACCACATACTGTGTTGAAAATGAAATACAAAAATTGTGGGTAGGAACCGGATGGGAAAACTTCAAAAAAATGGTCTCTTTATCTGACTTATGTAACCATAACCTTAACATTACCTTCACAATAGTAATAAATAAAATTTTAAAAAGAATACAACTGACTAAAAATAGATTTTTAAAACTTTTCTAAAGGAGAAATTTTTGGCAAATGTTTATAAGTTTCAACTAAACTTCCCAGTGAAGAAATGAGAACTTTTCAATATTCCTCAGACATATGAAATTATTATAAAATTACAGGATTATATCTTTAAAATATATTACCAAATAAAATGCCATCAAATTGTTCTGTCTAGTAGAATACTAGAATACTAGACAGAAAGAAAGAACACAGAGAGATAACTTTGGATATCTACAGATAGCTCTGTTCCAGTCTACAGCTGGTTTTTAAATGAGGCTATGTTAGTGAGAAAACTATCCAAGATTAGGGAACAAACCATGTAAAAAGACTAAAGCAAACCATTACCAGAGCTCAGTTTGGGTAGTGAGTAGTGCCTTTGGCCATGAGCCATGGTGTAAAATGTTATCATTCACTGGGCATCAGGGTGATGAGAAGAGCTTTGGCTAAGCAGTAGGAAAAATTAACCCTAGACAGAACTAATAAAGTATGTGTTAAAGATCTACACAATATCAAGCTGCTACCAAGTAGATTAGCTGTATCCAAGAAGAAAGGTTAAGAAAATGTATTGCATACAAAAATATCAACTAGTCAAGAAGTTAAAAGTCCCAATGTCTGACACACAATAAGAAGTTACTAATATCTAAAGAAACATCACAATAGTACCCAGTGAGGAGAAAAATTGATCAACTAAAAATGACTTAGAACTCACAAAGACAACATAAGATTTATTATATCTGAATTCCATATCTCCAAGAAGATAAAGAAAGTATTGACTAAATACATAGAAGATATAAAATATAAAATTACATTTTAAGAGATAAAAGCAACAACCATGAATGGTGTGAAAAGTCTACACTAGAAGGCATTAATCACAGGTAGGCATAGCAAATGTTAGATTATAGATGTATAAAAAAGAATTGTAGAGGAAACTAAGACTGTCAAGGAAACAAAGATAATATCAGCGAGTAGTGTGGTTATTTTGTTCAGTCTAAATATGTATATTTGGGCTCTCTTTTAGGATAATGGCTAAAAGACTGCAGAATTATCATAGAAATGATATACTCATAGGTACTATAAAATTAACAGAATGTAAGCACAAAAGTCAGAAAGAAAACTTTATCCTGACACACACACACGAAATGTTGACTCACAAAACACTCCATTATAAAACTTCCATATGCTCATCTCCATCATAGAACCACCTTCTCAAAAAACTCAATCTATATCAAGTACCAGAAACCACACTAGGGTGTTGCTCAATGATAGAGCCTGAGCCTAGCATGTACAAGGCTGTGGGTTTTATCCTTCTTATTCCCCTCACCCAAATAAACAACTACCTTTTGGGAAGCAGAACGATAGTAAATATATTCCCCTACATTTTTTTATTTTTCACAATAAGTTTATATTAAATTCATAAACTGTGAACTATATTTATCTTATGTCAGATGACTTTGGAAATTCAAGAGGTTTATGTTTCTACAAAGGAAAATCCATATCACACTAATGTATTTATGCCCTTCAGGAAGAGAACTTGTCATGCTACATTAGGTCAAAATTCATCTCTATGATAACAGACTGGAAATCCATGAATTTTCTTTCTTCAAAGGCTGATGTTGGGTATATAAAAGTTTGATTGATGTGATTATAATTGTACAGAATTTTAATGTGCTCACATTGTATGTTTAAATACTATGTCATATATGTGTGTTTAAATACTCATTACTGAATATCAAATAGCACATTGACTATTCAAAAATTTTGAGACTGAACAATTATAAAGTTGGATTATCATACTGCTATTATGAGCCTAACATTTTTAAATGCTTAAATTATTTAATATCATTTCTTTGCCTTCCTCTTCTTAATCAGTATTTTCTGGCATTAAAAACTGGACCTAATTCAAATCCACTAGATCAAAAATTGTAACAGGAAAAACTTAAGCTAATAATGCTACAGAACTACTTTAGCCTCAATACAAGAAACGCAGTATTTCTCATACTTAAACTACAAATTTTATTAAATAAAATGATCTCCTACAGTGCAATTTATTTCACTTCATATTTAAAAGAGAAATTACCATTAAATGCTACACTGGTTATAATCCATACATTGCACTTCCATTAACATAAACCATAAAAAGTCAATAAATAGCAACAATTAACTATGCATTGCTTTGGCCTTGAGACTATCTCAGAAGGCATTTTGTCAATAGAATATATAAAAATACTGCTACATCACCACAAGTTGTCTTTAGGGAAACAGAACTGTAATTTTATGGCAACCACATTATTGGCAAGTATAGAACAAATTCTTCTCTGGACAGGTTCCAAAACCAGGTAAAAACATACGCACTACCATAAAGCCACATTATACCCAGCGGTAAGATGCTTCCCTGTATCACAGATGCAATTATACTTCATAGTTCATCAGATAAGCCAAGTCCTATCTAGGCTGAATGTCTTCCTTTTATAAAAAGCACATAGTAAAGTCCCCCAACATGATCATTAAGATGATTCTCTAATATGTAAAATGACAACAAAAAAATTAGTAACATAAATCCAATCCTCCTTCACAATCTGAAGGTAAATAAGTAAAGCATTTGCAATATTAAGGTGAAGATAAAGACAATTTGGGGAAAAATATCAAAATCTTACCTTAAGATACCATTTGTATTTAGCATGTTCCCAATTTTCAGAGAGTTGTGTCTTCTTGAAAAACTGTTCAGCTTCTGTTAGCCATTGGTTAAATATCTTCATATCATAATGAAAACGCCGCCATTTTTCCACAGATCTGTCAAATCTCCTAGAAGGTGAAAATAAAGATCAAGGAAAATAAATTGATTATAAAAAATGATTTTGTGGAAACAGCACATTTTTATATATCAGTGAAGCTATCATTTTGGTAGTTCTCATATTTGTAGATCACAGTTTCAGTTAATATAGATAATAATTAAGATGAAATAAGATGCTACAAAATTAAAGACTAATTTTTCCCTTAAAACTGACTATATTTCTTGATTGAAATAAATATAAAATCACCTTTGGAATGTTTGAAATTTTATGTAATTATATTTAATTCTTAAATGTGTTAACAGTTAACACATTATTTGACAGCTGTATATTCAATTTCAAAATGTTTTGGCTTAAAAATCTAAATCTCTCTAAGCTTATCAGTTTCAATATCATTCATGAATCAAAACTGTTTATTCATTAAGATCATCAAGTATCCAAAATGACAAATGTCATTAGACTCAGATGTAAGAAATTAACCCACTAGATATTTCAATAGTGTACACCATAAGATGGGTGCTAACTTCCTTTGTTCTTTTTACTTTGTTGTATCTATTAAATCTTTCAAACTAGAATGCTGAAGGAGCTTAGTACAAACAATTGATTTAATATCACATATGAATACATTATGAAGAAGCAGATATTTATTTGTTTATATTCTAGTCATACAAGAAATTGAGACACTAATAAACAACCAGGGTTCTACATCTGAAGATGGTTGGATATAAAGAATAACCTGAGTATTACAATACAGCTACAGCAACAACAAAATACTAGAGCTCCACTACAGAACTATAAAATTAGTATCTTTGCTAGATTCTGACATCTGTTATTTTAAATGCACACAGGTAATTCTAATGGACA